TTTTTCTCCTCTCCTCTCCTCTCCTCTTGTTTCTCCCCCTTTTCCTCCCCCCCTTTTTAAATTTTGTTGTACCTGTGACAATGACAATAAAGGTGATTCTGGATTCTCCTTCATGATTTGAGCAAAGTACTTAAACACAGACATAAAAGACAACAGGGATCCCCTCTATACACAGATACAAAAGAGAAAACAAACATTTCTCACCAGTAGTAGGACAGGAAGAAGAGGTAGGGTGCAGTCATGACGGCCTGCAGCCAACGCCAGTCAGTGATGAAATAGGCGAGCAGAGGGAGGATGAGGATGCCGATGCTGAAGAACATCTGGTACAATATTCCCACCATCCGTCTGTACTCCACTCCAACGATCTCTGTGACTGACAGTAACACAGGAAACTGATATTGTTAGAATATTTCACTGAAAAGAAAAAGGAAACAAATCACTGAGTGGAAAGCAAAGCAACCTCAAAAACAGCCTCATGTAGCATCGAGTGCATAGCATTTTACGTCACTGTGTCACACACCACCAACTGTCACTGATTTTGGTGAAACTGGATCACATTTAATGTATTTGTATTTATCTTAATCTGTAACTAAAATTAAAATTAAAATTAATAAAGTAGCTCAAACTTGTACAGTACTTAGATGTCTTGGCCACTGTTAATAGGTGAGCCATTGGTTATAACTGCAGTATGACAGTGTGTTCTTAATGTTTATGTCATTTAGTTAGTTACAGTAGATGTGGTTATTGGCTCAGAAGAAAATCAATCTCGGTAAAAGATGGAAAGTGATCATTACGCAGCACATATGCAGACATCCACCCTCCTTTTACTCCGAAGCCAAACAGGCTCCTGACAACCAGGATGGAGATGTAGTTTGGAGCCACAGCCAGCACAATCCCTGCGATTAAATTCAGTACGTTGGACAGTAGGAAACTGATCCTCCTGCCAAACCTGCAGAAAGAAAATAGATTATTAACCGATTAATGTCCACAGTGGAATTGTATAATTTGCTTTAAAGCACTAGTTGAGCTAAAAAACAAATCCATTACAGTTTCTTAAAATGGTGAAAGTGTGAGGCTTAACACACGTTGTTTAGCTGTTAGTCACTAGGGGTTGCTACATTGTGGACGGTTACAATACAGATTCAGAAAGAAAAATAATAATTTGTTGCTTTTTCTTGTTCCAGTTCTGCTATTGTGAATACCTAAGGGATGTTTTATAATGTATTCCTATGGAATAAAATGATTAACTGCTAGTGACCAATTATAGTATAGTATAGTGTAGTGTAGTATAGTATAGTGATTTTAGTATAGTGATTTTTTCAAATGCTTGGTACCATTAGATTCAAAACAACTTCTACAATATTCAGTAAATTTGATATTTAACACGTCAAATGGATTTTAAACTTTTGTGATTTTGTTTGCGTTTTTAAAGAAAATCAACTTTGTATGACAATTAAGGCATGCTAACTATGTGGAATAAAACATTCTGACAACAGTTACTTAAAGTAGGTTCAGCCTTCTGCAGAACAAGTTACTACTAATAAAGGTGTGATTTGGAAGAGGTTGCAAAAATGATCTCACCTGTCAGCAAAGTAACCAAAAGCAAAGCTGCCAACAAGGAAGCCCACATTGAGAGTGGACTGGTACATGTCCACCAGCCATGCATCTGAACACACCAGGTTAAACTGGGAACAAAAGGAAGAATGTTACATGTCTACATCAGCATGGAGCACTGAGAAAAGGTTTTATTTAATGACTGAAATCAGCTTTATTCTGAAGCAAAAAATGCATCACATTTCTCCTCTCACCTCTGTGACGAAGGACTTCCTGCCTTCATACTGATACTCCCAGCCATCCTACAGACAAAAACAAATCATTGCATTTAATACAGATGGTAAAATAACTCTAAAACTTGTTCATGAGTACATATTAGACATAGAAATTCTCCTAGACTGGTGTCACTCGTGTAAAAATTTTTAACCTTCATTCTTTTAAACAAAGAGCCCCCCTATTGTGCTTAAACTGCATTATTAAGCAGTGGTGTGCACAGATACTGCCAAAGAGGTTTGTACCTTTCACAAGGCCAGTAAAGTACTGAATTATACCACTTGAAAGTGCTACATGGCAACAAGTACATCTTCACTTCACCTCAGGGTCACAGAAGTTGACATTACTTCTAAAGAAATGAGAAGAAAAACCGGCACATACATAGTAGATTCTTTGCCAAAGAGAATACATATGAATCCAAAATGATCCCAGGAAGAAATCTCATCTTTAAAACCACCTTTAACCTCTGCCTTTCTTAATACACTCACAAATGTTACCCAAGTACTTGACATGTGCTGCTTTAAAGGAATAGTTTGACATTTTGGGGAATAAAAGTTATTCTCTTTCTGAGGGTCAGATCAGAAGCTTTATGAACCCTCTTGTCTGTACAGTAAATATCAAGCTACGGTCTGCCGCCAGTTAGCTTAGCATAGGACAGAGACTGCCAACAGGGAAAAACTGCTAAACTGGCTTAACCCTGCGAGGCAGCTGGTAAGATATATATTATATATATCTCTCAAATTGTTGCACTATTCCTTTAACTGTTTCTAATTCCTTGAATTAAATCAGGAAGCTGCAGTCATTCTCAACAGTATGGCTGAAAATACAATACATTTGAATATGTTTGGTATCTCATCATTCCCCAAGAAAGCTCCTGAAAGTTTTCTACTGCAGAACCAAAGAGCATCTCCTCAGATCGATCAATCAATCTCAGAGATCTCACCTTGCATGTGGTAACTGGAACCCCAGTCAGGTTTAGTTCCTGTGAGTCACAGGTGAGCTCTGTGGTGTTCCAGTCCACCTGATACTGCTCACAGCTGCTCTGCTGCAGCACTCCAGAGCTGTTGACCGCCGGCACCGTCAGCCTGCGACTGTCTGCCAGGCTCCAGCCGCACGCCTGCCTCCTCTCCACAACCGCAGAGTCCCGACACCAGTGATGCGGGGTGAAACCCTGGAAGACAATGCCGACATACACGCCGGTAAAAGGCAATGACAACAGACAGAGCAGGGCGAAGATTCGCTTCTGACATCGGCCAAAAGTCCCAGCCTCTTCAAGGAGGTCATCAAAGGTCGTCATCACTACTCTGATCCAAGTTCTTGGTGTTTGAGATATAAAAACAAGTCAGTTTTTGCACTGTTGAGCACTACTGCAGATTAGTGTGAAACGCCTGTAGTCTGCTTCAGAGATTCTGACAGACTTCACACTGTTCCTCACTTACCTAACCCTGGAGCTAAAGTCCAAAAAACAGTTAAAAACAGTTAAATCTGCAGTGGAGGTTAAACATGTTACTGTTTAATGGAGTTAAACAGAGAATGGCAGAGGGCTCATGCAATCATTGAATGGACCTGAACTGAGCACAAGCCAAAACAAATTCTGTTAGTATGCTTGTGTGCTACCGGAGTTACACAACACACATTTAGGCTCAATCATTAGGTCACAGCACACAAATGGTTATCTTTTGTTTTTCTTAATGGCAAGGTTATCAGCATTGGCATTACATTCAGTGAACTACACTCCTAAAGCAGTCTTATTTTTCTACAAACAAAAACTTAGATGCTGTAATCAGTCAGGAGCATTAAAGGAGCAGTGTGTGGGATATAGTGGCATCTAGCGGTGGAGTTTACAACTAACTGAACATCGCCGGCATCTGTATTGGGGATGGGCTGTGAATAGGTATATGTTACACATTGGACCTTTAAGTAAATTTAAAGTGGTGAATTTAAGCTGCTGCAGAGGACAAGTGGATGGTAGATATTCACTCCAGCGCTCAGTAAACAGAGGTTATCTCCTCAGGATGTTTATTATTTTGATTGCCATTGTCTTTTGTTGTCCAGCATACTCTCTCCATCTCTCTCATCTTCCCTTTCCCTTGACCTTCCAAAATGATTTGATGAAAATTCATTGATGTATGAAACAAAGGATCATTGTGGTTTTGTTACCTTAGAATGAGCCTAGGGCACACAGGTAGCTCACCTGGTAGAGCTGGTGCCCGATGTACCAAGAATGAGTTCTTGCTGCAGCGGCAATGAGTTTGAAACTGACATGTGGCGCTTTGCTGCATATCATCCCTCCTCCTCCCTCCCCCCATTTCCTGTCACTCTTCTGTTCTATACAATAAAAGTCTTTTATATCTTCTGAGGCCACGGGTCACCTTCTATGGAGTCCCCGTGTTTCTACAGTAGCCTGAAATGGACAAATCAAACTCTTGCTTCAGATTTTTAATGCTGTTTGTGGCTACCATAGTTTATCCTTCGCGCTCTGATAGGGAGGGTGAAGCGAGGTGGTTGTAATCTGCAACTACTACTTGTGCTTTGTTCAGAAAGCTGAAATAGGATCACTGTTGCTATTTAAACAACATGGGTTCGTTTGGTTGCACTTTAAACAAATGTGCGTGACGTGTGTCTGCTGTAGTGTTTTCCAGATGGCACTTGCTGTTACCATGGAAACCACGTATGTCGACACATAAAGCAGTAACGAAATCTTCAGGATTTTTAATGTAAACAGTTTCAGTCCAAGTTGTGTTAAAACTCTTTAATATTGAATAATGTTATTCAATAATAATTCTATTCTACACACATATTTCAATTCCAACATCACAGAGGCTTGAACATAACAGCCGTTTAATTTACACATGAAGTTCTTTGTGGGTGATAAGGGCAACAGACTATACTTGGCTACACAGTCAAAAACAAAAATCAAAAGGAGTTATCTAATATATCCACAAGCAACACTGTAACAACATAAATAAATACTTTGGTCAAAGAAGGAGGTTAAACTGTTGCTGGATCTTTGTTGGTCGATACGTCGCTGGACAGCAGGTTGGTCAGCTGCTGTTTCTTCAGTGCAGCTTTTTCCTTAACTCTGAAAACACAAGGAAAAGATTACATAACATACATTAAGTATTGTTTGAGTCATTTTTTAAAGTAAAAATAGGTTACAGCTGCACAAATGGGAGGACTTGCAGCTGTTCTTTGTCATACATGACAATAAACTGACTTTGTTTGGGTTAAAAACAAGAAATTTGAAGACGTTACCGAGGGGTGTGGGAAATTATAAACACGCATTTTTCACTGTTTTATTACATGTTGTAGACAAAGGATTAATCGATTAACCACATAAATAATCTGCAGATTAAGTGATAATGAAAATAATCCTTATTTCAGCCTAAATTTAATCTATATCATTGAGAAAAATATGACAGCACCATCGACATAATATGTGAGAAACTGCATCAAGAATATCTATATAGACATGTACATATACTAGATACAAAGAGACAAAGCCATGTAAACACCATGGCTTGTGCCAAAATATGTCAAATAAAGCTCTTTATTTCTTATCTGGGTCTGTGGGTTTAACAGTGGATATTCACCTGTCTGGGAACTCAATGTCGTCAATGGTGTCGGGGAGCGGCACGCCCCTGGTCTCAGGAAGCAGCAGCACCAAACCACCAGCCAGGAAAGCAAGAGACCCTGCACAACCACATCCAACATAAGTTTATTAATATCTTTTATTTTTTATTAGGTCAGTGTGAAATTTGTGTGAAAAAGGAGACCAAATGTTGTCACTCCGTAATAATAAAAAGACCCACCAAAGATGATGAGGGGCAGCTCCAGCCAGATGACAGCCAGTCTGTAGAGCAGGAAGGGAGCTACAATGCCTCCAATATCACACAGAGTGGAACAAACTGACACTCCCAGGTTCCTGCAGAAACACGAGCAACCAGTTAGTTTCTATACATTTTGTATACAGTAGCCACCACAACTAAACAGAGTAAATACATTTTAAAATGTAAGTAAGTATTTCTCAGTGTGCATGAATCTGAGCATGCTTGAGTAGCTGGTGGAGTATTGCCAGCCACATATATTGTGGGTGTGGCTGTCAGTGAGCTGGTTGTGGTTGTCTAAACTTTATTCATATATGGCATTTTAGTCCAGAGCAACATACAGTAACTGTGTTCAACCGTGGTGGAAGCAAGAGATGGGTGTAAAGTGCATTCCAATCAAACAACCACGGGCGTGTACAGTTGGTACAATTTACCTGACAAAGGTTGGGTAGAGCTCAGTGTTAACAAACACCACCATCTCAAAGGCCATGGTGATACCCAGCCGACCGATGCAGGCCACCACCGTCTTAAACCAGAACATACCTGCAGCGACAAAGAAAGTAATTTGAATCTGATGACAACTGACAGGCTCGTGCCCCAGCTCCACCTGTCCCCCGAGACAACAAAACATAGCGTAACAAATGGTTGTTCACCTAGTATCTGATCTCCTAAGACTTACTGTCAGGGATGAGGGCAGTGATGAAGCAGGCGGCTCCAGCTACGATGTTGGCGGAGGCGAAGGGAATGCGTCGGCCAATGCGTTCAATGGTAAAGAGGATGAGGAAGGCGGCAGGGAACTCCACCAGGCCAGAGATGAGGAAGTCGATGTAGACGTTTCCTCCCAGAATCCCCAGCCTCATGATCAAACCCTGGTAGACCACAGCACTGGTGAACCTGGAAGAGACGGAGGGAGAATGGTTTTTATTCAACGTCATCAGCTCAGTTTGGTTTCAGTTAGTTTCCAGAATGGGTTTGCTCCTTTCAGTTTAGTTTTTATTCTTTAAAAATGTTTAATTTTTTTATAAAAGTTTGTGTTTTATTTTCAATTCATTTAACTACCTTATTTTTCTCACATAGTTTTAGTTTAGTTTTAGTTAACTATAAAACATTGACATGTACTCCTATCATAATATACAAAAGAGGCTAATTAATGGATTATTCTTCTTATTATAGCAATTATTTCCACTGCTGTAGTTTTAATGACACATTACAAAAACCCATGTTAAATAAAACTCACCAGTTGTAGCTGAGAATTAAAGTGTGTTTTCTCATCTTTGGAGTTCTGATCAGGTCCATGAAGGAGGCAGTGCTGGAGTCTGCGTTATCATCTGTCAGAGTCTGCAGGAGCAAACATAAAAAAGATCAACTGTTTTTTTCAATTTGCATCTCCAAAGCTGTAATTCTGCAATGTACTTATATATAACTGGTGTACACACAATACTGGCGATTCTTTTGCATTCAAGATCTTAATCAAGATTTTAGAAAAAAACTGCTTTAAGCACTGCTGTACGTACGTTGGTGATCTTGCAGGATATGTAATTGCTTAAGCAAACAGTAATACAGTTTTATTTTCTAGTAAACATGAGATTAAGTGTCTGGATCTGCCATGGCCAATTAATTTTAATTATTCTGATGCCACCTTTCTATTCAATGCTTTACTAATGTGCCACAATAATGTTTTTGAGTTCAAATATCTTCACTTGAGAGCTTTTCTAAAGCAAATATTGATATGTGACTGTTTGTGATTTAATCAGCAGATGAATATTTCTCTCGGTCCGCCCCTGAACCAGCAGCTACCTCGATGTTCTTGGAGAGGGTCATCTTGTTCTCTTTGGCCATGGCCTCGGTGATCTCCACAGCTTTTGACTTTTTGTTCTGAGAGAGAAGCCATCTCGGAGATTCAGGGATAAACCTGCAATTACAAAATTTTCATGAAGCAGTGACAACAAACTCAATCTTGTGCAGGCGTGTAAACATATAGTACAGCTTTTTCATCTTATTTTTAATCAAGGAGGATTAAAAGAATGTGAATTTAACAATAATGTAATAGGAATTCTTCTTGCTATTTAATGTCGCTGTAAAGAATAAAATTCCAGAAGTATTCTAAAAGAGAAAATCATCACACTTTTGTAGTATCTGATAAAAAGCAATGTTAAAGCTGCACTAGTGAACTGAACCACAAAGGTAGATAAAATGCTAGATGATGATAATAATAATACTTTGTCATATACAGGAGAAGGTAACAGTTTGTTTTAACCCCCCTACTGTACATTTATAAGTACTGTATAAACACTGGTTTATAACATACCATGATGTAGCTGGTAAAGTTTTTAAAAACAACCTATAAACAGATGATGACTAATAATATAATATAAGATGGTTGTATTCATATATATATATATATATATTCCATCTGCTGAGGAGGACCACAACATGTGACTACAAGCTCCTGAAGAAATCTAATAAATTAACATTAGAGTTAAGAAGTCAAACTAAACTGCAGTTTGAAGCTCAACATGTGTTAATGAGTTTAAACACATTTATAACAGATATAAGACACACAATCGTTGTAGTCATTAAATACACAATATATAACATATTGTATCATCAATCATTC